ATATATATATATATATATATATATATATATATATATATATATATATATAAGTTGTTGTTGCAATGAAGTTAGTTTTCATCATTATCACGTGAATTAAGAAGTAATTGCCTTCTTTGAAAGATCTTAGGATGGGTTTGATTAATTGATCGATGAGAATATCCGTTGCTGATGGAGTTGCAGTAGTGTGTGCAGAGTAGCACTGAATCGAATAAAACATAACCGTTTTTACTCAAATATATCACACCACAGTTCATAACAACAACTATTCCCAGCAGTTAGCAATCACTCCTTGGCTGCACCCATAAAGAGCTTTTATTTTGATCATTTCAACAACCATCCTTCATCACCATCTTCACCTCCACGTTAGTATCAACAATAAATAACAAGCGCCGTCTCTCTTATCACGACACTTCTTCTCCCTGTTCCTCCCCACAGTTAAAAGTTTTGACTGTTTGATACACCCAAATTACGGAACCCTGGCGTTGTATCTTGTGAAAGTATCAATGCTTCCATTTGACTCTCCAATAAATGATCCTACAAATTAATTATTTTTAATGATTTATCTCATTCAGTTCAACTCTTTACATTAAAAATGAGATTAAACATACAATAATAGGCATAAAAGTTTCACTTCTGCAACTGAGAACAATTCAAAGGACTAATTTGTCATACGGTTGATCGACTGTTCGCGTGTGATTGAACGCAGATTACATCTTCATAAGTTTGGTTAAGGAATCATTGTGACTCAGCAGGAAATGTAAATCGAATTGATAAAATAAATGGAAAAGAGGATAGCTACCTGATTGAACGAATTATCTGCTTGACTTAGGAATGATTGCGATTGAGAGGCACCACGTTGTGTTTGGGACTGCGACCAATTTATAGCATCTTGCGAAAGAGCTAAAAGAATGATTCGCTACCAAACAGACTATTGGAAATGGACAAAACAATTGTTCTGTATCTGGAAAAGAATGGTTGCGTGATCGAAACTGTACAAGAGAACACTGTCATTTCAACGAACGATGCAAACGAAACTATCGTGACGACAATTAACCGAAGTCATATTCGAACAGAACTATACGATGAAATTTATTCAAGAGCTATGAAAATATTTTTGGAATGATTCAATGACTGATAATGGTGACGAAAATAAAATAAATCAGATTTTGATAACCTTGAGATGAAGAATTCGTAACACCCGTAAAGAAAGGATCCTGTGTGGATTGTGAATTGAAAGCATTCATGGTAGTCGCATCCAGACCCACACTCACACCACTTGTGTCAGCACCAGCTGGTGAAGGCCATACGTTATTGCGTGCTGCTGTCACATGGGGCTGCTGTTGTTGTTGTTGTTGATGCTCTATGTTTAAGGCATTTAAAATCTCCCCTCAAACAATTAAATATTCAAAAAACCATCCATCCCAAAATTTCTATTGTTTCTGAGCGGATTTTCTCTATTTGCAGAACAAACTGCAGCATACTAATTATAGCTATATTCTTCACCAGATAAAAATGCCACTTGAGTGCACACAAATATTTTCTTTTCTGAACACAAACGTGAATGATATTTGATACTAACAAAATGCTATTGAAACAATATCAATCGAAAAGAAACGAACTGTGATGTGGCTGATAGTAGTGTGTGTTGGTGGTTGGTGGCGGTTGCATGAACATCTGAATGGGTACCGGTATATTGATACCACTCTGTGAACGTAACTTATCCAGTGAGATGGTTGCCATCGGATCTTGTAATGTTCGCACATCGGTCCGCATTCCATTTCTGTTTCTGTCATACACCGATCCGGGAATGATTGCCTCTTTAGCACTCCAAGTTGCACGCGGTATGAAACGATTCATCTGCAATCAATAAATCATTATTAGCAAACAGTCAACTACAAATAGCAATCGCAGAGAGATTAATCATTTAATTGAATGAGTGTACAACAACTTACACCACCAGATGACGACATTCCGCGTGGTTTCGACAACGTAATCGGTGATGGCTTCAGATTATTGAGCGGTCCTTCAACAAGACATCCCTTTTCCTTGAACATCGACAACAAATGATTCCAAAGTGGATGACGTGAGAGGATTTTAGCATTGCCAACGATGATTACACCATATTTGGCACGTGTTAACGCCACATTCAATCGCCTTGAATCGTTCAAGAAGCCAATACCCTGATGCTCATTTGAACGTACGCAAGTCACTATAATGATATCCTTCTCTCGACCCTGCAAACTTTTTCAACTCTACTTTCTCAGCTGCACAATTTTACTTGCCTTCCAACAAAAACGAAACATTTCACTTCCGTTCACATCAAAAAACAACACTGTGATGATGTCATAAACAGTAACCTGGAAAGCATCCACATTTGCCACTTCCATTTCCATGTATAGTTTACTATGCAGGGCTCCCTGGGTTTGCATAAACTGTACGATATATGAGCGTTGTCCTTCGTACGGCGTTATGATTCCAATTTGTTCCGGCCTCAGACCTGCCTTCAGAAAACGTGTTGCGATCTTCTCAACATTTGCGGCTTCCGTTCTACATTTTCATGCGTATGAACAATAAGAAAATATGTTGAATCAAAACGAAAGTGTTGTATTGTTTACATCGTCCACACAACTTCGAAACATACTGCTCAAATGTGATATTTCTAGTGAACAATAGAATACAAATGATCTACTAATGGAACTCAATAAATCCACGCAAAGAACACCTTTAACCAATGGATATATAATGAAAAAATGCACCTGTTAAGGTAAGAGGTACCCGATGGACTAAGTTCCTCTTGGCCATAGCAACTCCAAAACATCATCGGCTTATCGGCTACTGGCCACTGCCAATCGATTCCAATTAGTTGTCGTTCACCTCGAATAAAAGAGATTAAAACTGATCAATGATCATTACACATCTAATGAAATTTATAATATACACTCTTTTTTAAGTAATCGGATAAAATGAAACAATCGCAAACGAAAAAAAGAAACCTTCAGTTACTCCATTCTGGAGTGTTCCTTCATAGAAAACATTGCTTGGGAATGCCGAAAGAGCCGGATGCATACGGTATTGTACTTGTAAGCGAATTGGGCGTGAGCCGAGCACAACCAAACGTTCGAACAACGACTGCGACAGACCTGCTTTGGCAGCCTAGAACGATGAATGCAAGAATAAGGACAGAAATCACTTGAACGAAGTCATTATGATAGTTCATATTGAGGAGAGACGCGAATTCAGACGGCAACGAATGGAGTTAGTTGAAAAGTTAACCTTTTTGCACATAATAACCGGTCCCAACTGGCAATGATCACCAACAAGTACCAACTGCTTCACGCCTCTAACCACCGCAACCATCACTTCAGGCTCAGTTGCTTGCGTCGACTCATCGATAAGCACACATCTAAATCATGTCACTCAATCATCAAAACAATCCTCTACACAGAGATGGTGATGAAAACAACAACAAACTTGATTCGCATATGCGCAAGTCGATTGTCGGCTGCAGACACACATGTGCAACAAATCACGTCTGCTGAACCCAGAAGTTGCTTTTCTTTGGCCATTCGCAGTGTTCTGAAACGTCTTTCATCCGCATCAGCCAGTTCACCAATTTCTTCCTGAACAACGCAAACCATTCTTCATCACATGTCTATTAAACAAAATATTTGTATGCTAAGCAGTTGGATAATCGATTTTACCAACCTTCAACTGTTGTAGTTTATGAAGCTCAGCAGCTCCTTGAACGGCTTTCAACTGATTATGAAGTGCTAGGAATGCAACCGGACTGTCGAGTGTTTCACGACTTTTGGCACATAAACGAACCACCTGAGTGCAAGTGTATTTCATTAAATTTGCATTTGTACCGATGACATTTCAGATATCATTCAGTGTAAAATTGCACTAACGCCGAATTCATTCACATTTGTTGACTGAACCGATCACAAACTTAAGCTGAAACGTGCCAACCTTGAGACCCGTTCGATGAATTTTTTCAGCCAACTGATCGACAGCAATATTTGATGGGGCACATACAAGCACTTGACCACTTGTTTGACGAACCAGATGATAAACGATTGTGGCCGACGTCACCGTTTTACCGGTACCTGGAGGACCCTTAAAAGGTTGATCACATTTTAACTCATTAAAATAAATACCGAAAATAATATGACATCAAACAAGTAAATTCAAGTTCACTGAAACAGCAGTTAATTACGAAAAGTTCAGAAAATTCAATGAGAACAATCAAACTGAGCAAACGTCTCTCCATATATGACAGTCCATTTAATGGAATTTGAAAACAGCGTACTTGGATCAACGATAAAGGCCGTTGAAGGACTGTTTTAACAGCTTGAACCTGACTGTGATTCAGTTCAGGTAAGCCGGGTGCACTGAATCGTTTAGGCAGTTGAACTTTGAAGATGATATCATCAACTTCATGACCAAGAAGTTTGTGGTAGATGAATTGTGAGACACATGATTCGTCCTGTCCCAGGAGACATAGAGCTGCGTGCATCCTCAAACACAACTTCACTACTACTCGGAACAATACAACTTTCACTGAACGTCGACACACTTAGGTAATCACTTCCAAACGTTTGCACATGATCCAAACACAAATCAATATCCATTCCATTTTCACAATAACACCATTTCTTATCAAATTTGAAAAACAATGTTTCAAGAGAGTACGCAAAATCAATGTTTGAATAATGAATATATCTGTATCAGAAGATTACGCAGGCATTATCCTTCAAAAAAAAGTGAATATACCGATCAAACGAAGTAGAATTCCATACGAATTCACAAGTGAAATTAGTTCTTGTATCGGTTGGCATATTTTCGGCTTTCGATCGCATTTCAATACCAATTTCATCGTTGTGATCTGAAAATATCGTCAAAATACGAACGCAATTTCACTTATTTTCAAGCTGCCACTTCAAGCACTGTTTTCATCTGACAGTGAGTTAATTTATTTTACAATCATAATAAAATAATATTGCATTCACATCGACATGGGTCATCCACTTGAAAACTACCAAAATAACGTTTTCAGAAACTTACTATCAGGAATTTTGATGACTGATCCCACACAACTCCATTCGCCATCCACTGTCTGTTGATGCTTCAAACGCAGTTCATCACCTAACATCAGCTTCATACCTACAACAAGAAAGAATCGTCAAAAAAGTACACTAAAATATGCCAACCATAATATAATGCTACAGAAGGAAAGTATCTGTAGTGTAGTTTAATGCAAAATAATATTCATCGTTGACTCACTCCCTTCCGAGAATTTGGGCAACATGAAGTACGCTTGAGGTTTCTTATTCAGACCAACATCCCATCTGACATGGCCGACATTTTGCGTTTGCGATTCTTTCTCTCTTCGATCATATTCGGCTTCGGCAGAGACGAGCGGAGCGAAGATACGTCGATAGTGATATGCATCTTCATATCTAAGTTGAACACGCTCTGGCTCTTCATCCACACCTGGCTTTTCGAGATCTTCGAGGACTGCATTCGGATTCTCCTTTAATCAGTCAATGGAGACAATTAAAATCATATCAATCACCACAATCTTAATCCCTCCTTCTTGAACATCACATCGTTGTCTGTGAAAGTTTGATAAATACACTCCGTGTGCCAGAAACGATGCTTCCTGTCAACAACTTTCGTCATTTTTTCCAGATCCTGCCTCGAAGTCATACACTCTAAAAGTCACCTCTCCTAATAAACAAACTACTTTCACGCACCTTCCATAAATCTTCAAGTCTATTAATCTGTGCTGCACTTATTTGTCGCGCTCTCAACTGTTCCTGTTCTGAAGGTATCTTCACCAACCACGACAATAATTGCCGGTCTGAGATCAACGGTTTCCATTCGTCCACCTGAAAGACGCTAAGTGAATGAATTCACGACATCGTTACCTAATAAATTTTTCATCTTCGATACATCGGATAAATAGTACATGGAATAAGAAATAACGATAATTTTCACTTCAAAATAACTGGAAGTTTAAAGGTTTAAAAAGTAATCAAACATGAAACATTGTTTTCGTGGGTAGGAAAGAAGAGTAACTCAAGGAAACAACCTGCCAATTAGCGTCCTTCAAAGTAGCTTGATTGGCACATGGTGCTCTACAGAGCACAACGACCACTGTGTCCGCTTTTGCCGGTATAAAACCCAACATGAATATGTTCCTGAAATCAGTCGCATGGAGCAGTTCTCAAACAATCATTCATTGAGTAATGTTGAGAAAGCGAAAAAAGAAATGACAAACAGAATGGATTAAGTTTAAAGTGAACAAAAATGAAAAACCTTGAAGCGCATTGATAACATTCCAACTGCGTATCACCGAGCACACCTTCCTTATGAAGTGCCACTTCTTTGTGTTGTGAACGCACCAAATGATTTACAATATGACTTCCAGCTGTACTACCACGTCCATTACAAAACCATTTCTCACATGTTAAACACATCGCAACAGCTGATGGATCATGAATGCCACAATATCTAATTACAATTACATTGACAGTTACTATTATTATTATTTAAACATACATAGCAGCAACCATTACATTATTCGAGCTTATCGTGAAAACGCCTGACACTATAACCAAATTAAAACTTATAGTGAACGACATTAATGTGAACGACACTCAAAAGCATTTTTCATACACAGTGATGAGAATAATTTTGGAATAAACAAACCGGCAAGCGTGAGCTGGAAGACTTTGTGAGGGTTGAATATCTTCTTCTTCAAGAAAAGTCAGCTCCTGAGTAGACGGCTCTCCTGGAACTTCTGTAAGCGTTGCACCCCACCCACCTGATGGCAACGTAAAGTGCTGATCGAATTCGAATTGCGAATCCTGGAACAGTCTGTTCGAAAAAAAGGAACGCAAGTCATTGGAATAAGAGCAATACGCTCTCAACTTTCCATAGTCGTTGTCGTTGAGGTTTAAAAACCGAAAATTTTATAGCAATAGTGATTCATCTGCACAAACAAAAACCTGTGTCGCTCCATGTAAAAGTGAAGCGTCCTCGTCACCAGTTTCAACAAAATTTAATGACAACGAGCCCGCACCATATTCTTCTTCTAACAATTCACCCATTTAAGACACAGCTGGAAAATAAATGACAAATCAACAACTATACTTCGAGCTAAAACTCAATCGAGTCAGTTTACGTTTTCTCCTCACTTCTAAAATTTGCGCTTCCGAACTGTACCTATTCTAAAGATTCAAAACAAGCACAGATGAAAACACAAATAAATTAAAAGTATGGCGTCACCAAATGATACTCACTAAAGATTTATCTAAAACAATACACAAAATTGTCATCATTAATTCGCACAAAGATTAGAACTTTAAGTAGTTGAAGCTCTTCAACTATTTAAATTTGATATAAATGGGATCTGACACAAGAATATTAAATCAACGCGAAATTTCAATACCCAACACGAGAAGCACTGAAATACACAAGAATGCAAATAAAATCGTCGAAACAATTGAAAAAATGACCACAAAAAATCCTGACGAAGAACGCCACGCAGTTTTTTGTTTAAACGTGACGAAACAAAAAATACACGACGTCAATCATCATTAGCGTGATGGCTCACTAATCTTCAAAACCATCTCCCTATGTCTGCGTCTCTCAAGCAAAAGCCTTTTCAGAATGATACTCTAGAAGCAACTTTGAATTTCAAGCCACCTAAGCAGTCATCGACCCACAGTATTGGCGATCTGTGAAATGCGGATGGCTGACGGCTCTACGACAATTTGGTCCGTGACAAGGTGCCACTCCGGCAATTTGCGCGTGTTTCATCACTTTTGTCGGAGTTCAGACTTGTCACGCACGTATTTGTTGGTCACCCGTGACTGGTAATTGCACCCATGATGGTCTACGACAAATCCGTCTGCGACCAATCTGAACTACGTCATTTTGAAGCGCATAGTCGCTCAGAAAACCTCGTTTCGCCTCGACTTTTGAGCAATGCGTTCGCATGTTAACCTTTGTGTGCTTGTATTATAAAACGAGTGTTACTCGATATCACGATTTCTCATATTCATCAGGAGTAGGATCGCTCCTGCAAACAACCGCCTGAGGTGTGGGACCTCGGGGCAAACCTGGGGCTATGTCCTTTGACGAATCGCAACAGAATGCGGTGCATTAATAGTGTTTCCATTAATTAAGATATGTAAAAAGCTGTCGCTAATATTACATTTCATAATGCGAGTTATAAGTAAGACCTCAGATGATTTTCTGCGAGATGACTGAATACATCAGATAGGAAAAATTCATTCTATAGAAACCCATCTGTATGAAAACAAAAAAAATCCATAATTAATATCAAAATTAAAAACAAATATTCGAAACAATGATGCGAAACAACAAACACTTCTGAATAAAATCAAATGATAAGATCATTACGCATGAGATCATACAATAATGGAATAACGATATCAACAACGAATCATGCAATAATTGAATAAAATCATGAGGAAAACATAAGTAGAGTAATGAAATAAAGTCATAATGCTTGAGATCATACAACAATGAAATTTGAAATGGGCAACTTCACAACTCCACCAGTCAAAAAAACGACCCTAACAATTAACAACTTCATTAGCGGAACGGAGTTCACACTATTGCGACAACAACAACATGCAATAATCATTATAAGGTGAGAACGTTGGAATATGAAGCTCACAGAAACAGTCCCTCTAGCGCCATCTCTAACCGAATCGACAATCACAGAAAACATCCACGCTCAGCCTGAAAAAAAAAGAACCATTTCTCTTTTCCATTATGAGACACACTGTTAGATCCGTTGAGGTGGAGAATGCCAGAATTCAGCTGATGTTAACACCGAGAGAAAATGGACTTGAAGCATTGCAAATAGGTGTTTGAGAATCAAGAATTTCATATTCACATGCAAGTGTACTGTTATTAGCTTAGACCCGAGATGACAAGATGCCTAAACAAAGAAAATGCAGTATACCCTTGTGGCATGATCATAAGTATCATTATATGAACTATTAATTTGAATTTGAATGATTTGTTCTCTTGCATAATATTTGTTCGGTAATTTGTTGAATTTACCTCCTTTCTGATCAATTATGAACTTATCGGTTTAAAAAAGTGTGTTTAAACATGTCACGTATCGATGTAGTAGTACCTCCGAGCCTTCTTAACTATGGTAAGTAGCCACGCCCACAGTTAAGGCAAGCAACGGGAGCAGTACCTCCGGGGTTAAATGATTACGGTAACTAGACACGTCCACAAATTGCGGTAGATAGCCACGCCCGCACTTAACGAAAACGTTACGAATCGAGTACAGACACGAACAGTTGAAAAATCAGAAACGGTTACACACATTTATCTGTTTAAGTGACGAGGAATGATCAATGCTAATTTATTATTTAATTTAATTTTATGTTGTAAGCGTTAGATCATAACTTGTAAGCTTTGTCATGCTTGCAAACTAAAGAAAGACCATCTGAACTACGCACATGCATTCATAAATTTCTCGTCATTTTGGCCCCATCCACCTTTAGTAGCCAGCAGCAATGATAATACTAATGGTGAGAATTTCTATGAGACGTTGAATAGCAATCAGCGAATGAAATCGTTGCATCAAACTGTCCACTACTAGTATCACCTTGTAATAAT